TGCCCTGATCACATCGGTGACATTTCTTCAATGCAGTTCTTGTTGAGCCCATGGCTTCAAACCATCGAGGAAGCTGAATAGCTTATCCTTCTCGGACATGTCCTGTACGTCCAGCATTAGCGCAGAAAATTGCTTCATGTAGTCTCGGATGGAAGTACTTTGGCGGAGTTGTCTCAACTTCCTCCATGCGATGAACTCTGTGTTCTCAGGTAGAAACTGAGTTCTCAACTCTCGCTTTAAGTCCTCCCATGTGTCCACCCGACACCGACTTTGTTGGATCTCCGCCCAACAGGTTCGCCACCAAAGTTTTGCATCCCCATTCAAATATATGGTTGCTATCGAAACTTTTGTTTCTTCAGAATCAGGCCTCATAACTCGAAATTATTGTTTCATGTCGAACAAGAAATTCTCGAGCTCTTTAGCATCTCGGGCGCCTCCATAACAATGCGGCTCGGGTGCCCTCAAGTTTTGTGGTGGCGCAACGCGGGTGTTGCTTCCTCCCGCATTCAGTACCCTTGTGAGCATGGTCACCCTAGAAGTGAGTTCTGCCATGACTTCCTGCAGATGTTGCACGGAGTCTTTGGTGTCGTCCGACAGTTGATCGACTAGGGCCTCGACCATGTCGATTCGGGATTCAACTTCTTCTTGCGAGCTCTCTACCCCAAGAAGCCTTCGTAGAGTTCCTCCAAGCTCGCTTCAAGAACATCCAAGTGGGTTTCCGCCGTTGTGAGTCTCTCCTTATGGCTCTTCTTCCCGATTGGCGCTCCAGATTGCGCCTCCTCCGCTCGCGGAGAGTAGCCAATTTCTCGCTCATCATATTCGCTGCCCCGATCCTCCAAAGCGGCTCCAACGACATGAGAGCGACTTTGCACTTGTAGCCCACCTGCGGTTGTTTGGGGTAAAGGTTCGGCTTACCCTGCCTTGCTTGATTCTCCACGATGCTTTGCCATGGCGAAATTATGAAGTTCCTTCGCTGCTTGCTCGAATTGCTTGCCCGCTCTGATACCACAATGTCACGGACTTAGCTGAAATTTCCTAAGTCGTGAGGCACCCTTGCGGCCAAGACACGAACTTAACTTGAGTTGCCTAAGTCGTGATGCACCCTTGCGCCAACTTCTCGAACTTAGCTGGGATTGTCTAAGTCTTGAGGAGTCCTTGGGACATATACGTCCGCAAAGGTTCAGCCTAGTTGTAACCTCGTACAGGTCCCGAAGGACCTGCAAAACAAAAAGTTGATTAGATTGAAAACGAGCGACGGACAAATCTCGACGTCTCACAAAGAGGGAAGCTTTACAATCAATTTAGAAAACACCTTACATGCACAGGAGAAAAGAGAGGAAGGAGAAAAACAAGGATTTTAGAAGGTAGAACGAATAGTTGCAAGTCCACAAACAACTGCTCACCGGGTGTCAAGCGCGAAGGCAAGTTCCCGTCAAGAAAACGTGCGAACTTGTGAAGATTGTTCAACGCCCGACAATATACCGAAGCCTCATCCAGCCCAGTGCCACCCGGGGGATTCCAAGGTGCTGAGATGGCTGACATTTCGTGCGTTGCAGCGAGCTGCAAAAAACAGCCCGCGGCCCACAAAAACGGAGCCATTTTGGGGCTTTTTGGCCCGACGCGATGAGCGATTGCACTGTGCACTATAACCTATTCAAAATGTATTTTTACAAGCAAAAACACACAAAACTAAGACAAAACAGGCTGCCATGTCTTTGTTCAAGCATGCAAAAGAGACGAACGGTTCGTTGAACGAAGTTGTTGCGAGTGCGCGACAACCGTTCATGACAGATTGGCCTACCACATTAAAGGCTGTAACAAATTCAAAGTAAAGGTCGTCGATGGACAAATTTTAACTTGTGATAGCAAATGTTCAAAGATAAAGTTGATTATACAGGGCCAAGAGTTGCTTGTGGACTTCTTTTTGCGACCCTTGGAAGACTTCGAAGTGGTGCTTGGAATTGAATGACTGTCAACCCTGGGTGATGTTTCGTGGAATTTTTATAAACTAATCATGAAGTTTTTTATTAATGGAAAGCGGGTGATCCTAAAGGGAAGACGTGGAAGTAAGGTCACAATTGCCACTAGCCATCGAATGGAGAGGGTTTTTTAGAAGACTGTAACGACTACTACACCGAAAGGCCGACCTATTACTTACACTATCAAGAAGTGGAGACCGTATTTACTTGATCGACGGGTTGTGATGCAACGCAGATACCATGCGACTAAAGTGCTAAAAGAGAAACTCCCCGAGTTTGATGCTGCTCAACCTTGAGGACAAGGTTGATTTGAAGGAATTGTTAGGATCCCTTTATTTTCTAAGCTTTTGAATAATGTTAATTGAGTTTGTTTAGTTCAGTAAGAGTCGGATAGGGGTTTATTTAATTTTTATTTATTATTAAGAGTCCAAATCCTGGTGGACTCTAGGTGGAACTCTATAAATAAGGATGTAACTGTTTCTTTTCGACAAGCAATAAAATATTATTTAGTCTTTTGACAAACCCTAGGAGGTCAATCATCTCGAAGTGATCAAGGAGGTCGATCCCCTTGAAGTGATCATCCCCTTTTCTCCCATTTCTTCTATAATAAAACCTTGGGGGTCTTATCAAAGGTCAATCAAGATATGATATTATGTAAAAAGGAAATTGAAGGGTTGAATCATAATAATGTGGTTGCTGGATTGATTTTCTAGAAAATGTTAGCACATCAAAAGAACATGGTTCAATAAACTAGCAATTTTTAAGCAAACCTAATTATAATGATTGGTTGGAACCAACAATTCAAAAACAAAACTTGTATTCGACTGCAAATAAGGTGTGCTTGATCTATTCTTAACCTGATGCACATGTACTCATTGTTTCAGGTTCATGGAATGCCAAGAGTTCAATGAATTAACAAAGTGAAGCTCTCATAATTCATCAAGAATGGAACTAAAGTGATCCAAGAACTCAATCCAAATGCAACATTAAGGAAGACAAGAAAGTCTTTACAGCACTTCAAATAGAGGGAAGAATTATTAAATCAGTTTTGCATTCGTCACCTTTGCATGTTTTTACATGGCTCTTGGATGCCAAAAAAAGCCTATTTCTTTACTTGATCAAACAATGAAATCCTTCCTTTGGCAAAAAGATCATAATACTAAAGGCATGTCTCTTATTTCTAGGGATGTAGTTATCCATTCAAAAGATGAAGGTGACCTTGGTCTTCCTAATATTAAAGTGTCCCAATTTGATCTTCAAACTAAAAGAATATACATTTACCTTATTAAAGTCAAAAACCTTTGGATGGAGGTTGTTAGTGCCAAGAATGGTTGGCACTCATTATGGACGAATACCTATCTCATTAAATCTAACTGGTGTTGGAGACTTTTCATTCAGGCTTCTATAGTTCTGAGATCTGGTTTTACTCATGTTATTGGTGATGGTACTTCTATAAAGTTTTTTAAGGACGACTGATTGTTTGACTTTCTTTACAGTTAATACTTAATACATAGCTTTATTAATATGGCGTTATAATAATCAAATGCATCTTTATGAACTTATAAATGATGGCAACTGAAATTTCATCTTGCTTCATGAGTTATTTGGTAACATTACTGCTTCTAAAATTACTAATATTGAGATATCTCATCCCCTAATGATGACTATATATGTTGGAGGTCTCACTCCAATGGGCAGACACCAACTAGAATAGCATATAAATTCCTCTCTGTTAAGGATAATATCTATGTCACGATTTGGATCTATGGCATGACTTCGGTTAATTCTTATCATTCCAAAAGTTATTTTACTTTGCAATTACCTACTTCTGTGAGACTAGCTAAAATGGGAATTTGTAATGCACATTCTTACTAATTGTGTGAACATCCTTTTGTTGCAGCCTGCAGATATATGGTGGATTGTAGATATATCAAGAAGTCTGTAGGATTTCATGGTGAGACATCTCATGTTAAGGGGATATCGAATAGACCTGCATTTGGATGGGTCAAATTAAATATAGATGGTGCTTTTGATACCTCTTCAGGTAAGGGATGCTTAGGATTTTGTTTACGATACAGGAATGGAAGATGTCTTTTGAAAGGTTGTAAACCAAATGAGGAGATGAATAACTGCTCAAATGAGGCACTTGCAATTAAGGAGGGCATCATACATACAGGTAGAGAAGGTGTTTCCAATCTTGAGATTGAAAGTGATAACCTTTCCCTTGTAAAGATCCTAAACAAGGGCAATTCTCCTCCAAGGTTCATCAGAAATTTATTCAGCAACATATTTGATTATATGTCATATTTTCAAAATGTAAAAATCTCTCATAACTTAAAAGATGGGAATAGGGTTACTCATAGTTTGACGGTTCATGCAAAAAATTTAGGATAGAGCAGGTCTGGAGATCCAATTAGACTCTATTTCTATGTCTATTTTGAGCTCTAAAGAGCTTCATGTCAATTGTACTCATTTTTTAAGTTAATATAGTTAATTTTCTTTTGGAAAACAAATAGAAGGTTACAAAAGGAATTATTTACTTAAGTCTCACATTTGTAAGTTGGCAAAACTGTTGAATGAAAAGAAAATTTTGAACCAGACAATATCTAACTGCAGCTAAAAGGAAGTGTCATGATGGCATCTCAAAGACCGCCTTTTCAGAAACATAAAGAAGCTATTTCACTCCATACTATATCGTTCAAGATTTAATTAAACATGCAATTTGTAAATTTCATCATGTCAATATCTTCAAAGAAAACTGTTGAGCTCACAAGCCAGCCTATTTTCACAAATTTTGGCTTTCGATAAAAGGAGATATCAGAAAGCAGCAGCAGCAGCAGTTGTCAATCATGAACTGTTGTATGTCAACAATCTAATTATAAATGACTATAAAGCATATAATATAAAAATGACACATAGCTGGTAAAGGCAAACAAATATATATGAGAAATTTGAAAAGAGAAATACAGTGACAAAAAGAGATCGTTAAATTTTTTTAGTTTAACAAGCCTAAGACTTCACCTTTTTTGTTGGCAGTTCATAATTTATTAGGACACGAGCCAAAAGAGGTGCCTCTCCTGCAGTGACTAATGGTAGGCAGGCATCAGTTACAACTATCATACATGATTTTCGAGCTTCAGTACTAGATTCAAGATCATCCTCAGGAAAAAGGCTAGTGTTTTGGTTCCATTGTGCACTACAGTGGCGGAACTTCTCTAATACCATCGCACGCTCATTTTCTGCCAGATCACTATACTGCATAGGCAAAGATATGCTATGAGTTGTGTACATATTAACTACAAAAATGGAAAACCATTAATTCAAACAAAATAATCTAGATTTAGATAGAAATCATAAAGGATCTCACTGCAGTAGAAGATGCATTTGGTATCAATTCCATGTTCAAATTACCGAAGCTGCTAATTACAGTGACTGTGTACATAGGGCTAACTCTCCTATTTAAGTAGCAACCATGGAAGAAAAGAAAATGAGGAAATTTTTCAGCTTATACTTGCTGCTAGCAGTAAGCATGTTACTCTAAGTTTCCATTGATTTACCCACATGATTAGTAACTGTTACCTTCATATGTATAAATAATGTAAATGCAAAAGACTTTGTTTAAATACTCAAGAAATGCATGACGAAGCTTACAATGTCACTAGACATTATAACATATTTAAGATTCAAAATACATGATGGTAATAGGATACTTGCAAAACAAGATGGAACAAACAAATGTGATAAAATGAACAATTCATGTAATAGAAGATTAAACTTCAGTGAGACAAGAAACATACATACAAATGAAGTTTGGTTAACCATATCATAGGATGAATAATCCTTAACGGCACAGTTGGCTGCTCAAGACCTCTTACTCCGTTGACTACTCAAATATTAATAAATCACAAACATTCACATTTTTACCCTCTTCCAACTTCAAAAATGATTGATTTATAGATCAGAAACGGAATTTCACATTACAATCATAACAAAATGAAAATGGCTTAAGAATGTACTTTATGCAGCAAACATCAGAAACATGAAATCCAGTCAAAATTGGTATATTAAAATAAAATCATCGAGATAATTCTTCAATTAACATCCAAACCTTTTAACTTATCATGTAATTGGCAAACATACCAACAAGTCCACGTGAAAGATCAAGCTATCTCGTCACCACATATCCAAATCGAAAAACCCTTTTTCCCCCTCAAAAGCTTCATAAAAACAGTAGACAGTTTAAGAAAATTCGGGGAAAGGTATACCGACCAGTGGGGAGAGAGAGATGGAGGAGAGGTTGGAGACGGCAGCGCAGACCGCGTCCAGCTCGTCCCGCGAGCTGCAGCAGAGCACGATGGGGAGCGACGGACGGCGCCCAGCCACTCCGAGAAGATCCACCAGTGTCTCCTGCCATCCACAATCCAAACCAGATCCAGTTGATCACCAACCAAGATACATACATCTGCAAGATAAGAGTCGGGGGTTCCAGGCATACCATCTTGAACTGAAGCCGATCGACCGCGACGTAGTAGTGACGCCCAGGGCTGAACAACGGAAATCACGGAAAGAATCGTAAAAAACGTCAATCGATGAGAGATACGGGATCGAAGAGAAAAAGGAGGGAGAGGATTGGGGGTTTGGAAGGGGACCTGAAATGGGAGGAGAAAGAGGAGGAGGAGGGAGGTGATGGCGAGGGGAGCAACTCCAAGTGATCCGCGGCCGTTCCCCTCATTCTCTCTCGGTCTCTTTCCTTCGACGACCTACACGTATGTATCATAGCTCGGGTATGTATATCGATTTATGGTAGATATGTATGTATATACCAATGCGCATGTATTATATCTTAGTATATGAACGAAAATCAACTTTGAAAAGCTTTATGAAATATTAGAAAAATTAATTTTAAAATTAATTTTTTAGTTTATAAAATTAGATTTATTAACACGAAAAATTAATTAAATCGTGATGTGGAATTACGAGCCCAATCGATAAAGTCTTAGCATGGTCAAATATTAATTCCGATAGAAAATTAGGTTATGAAAATTTTCAATTCTAACTATTTAAGTTTGGTTCAAGTTTATTATATAAAATCCTTATTTCTCTTTTTTTTCTTTCCTTCATTGACACCATAATATAAATTGATATACGATTTTATCATGGAATGTTGTTGTCGAGACATGTTCGAACCTTTTTGTTATTATTGGTGTTTTCAATTGTTTTTGCATAACCAATTTTGTGAGGGAGTTCATAACCTTAGAGAGTGTCATAACCATTACAAACGCATTTTTCTTGGATGATAGTATTTTTCTTTTGTGTTTCTATTTTATAAAATTTGTAAACGATATACGTTGATTGACGTTATACAGAGGGGAAAATAGTTTTAAATGTGTCATGGATTAATTTTTGGCGCAGGATAAATATCTCAGCACCGTCGAACCCTTTGGTTGGCATCCGATGGGATGAAGTTTGGATTTAGGACTACGTGTTGTCTTTAGTAAATCTACTTTTTCCAACAAAAGTGATACATAAATATAGACTTGCAGCTGCCTTTCGTTTATGAAAACCTTTTGTATATAATAAAATCTAATAAATTTGTGTTGCTTGCGCCTCTTTTGTACCTAATAAAATCTAATTCCTTTTGTGTTGCTTGTGCATGACAAACAATTTTAGACCCGCCTGATGCTCCGCATTGTCTTCGGCAAGACCGACTTCCGAGCAGGAAGTGATCTTATGTTAGTACATCGATACAAACTGAATATGTAAATTTAATCTATCTTATTCTTGATACCATGCCATGGCGCGTACTTACAAAAATCATCAATCTGAATCAAGATCATGAGCATGCAAATTTAAGCCGCCCAAAAATTTCATCCTTTAATGATCCGTCCACTACCAAGAAGCTCACCAAAATAGAAGCCAACACTGCAATAAATTTTGCCAATAAAAGATTGAGTTAAAATTAATATCACGATGCTATAGAATCTCAAGCACATAAAGAGTACCATAAGTTCATGGTAAGTGGAACGATACAACACCAAGCAGAAGTCCACCTTCAAGTGCAGAACTTCCATACGTAATGTCCCTTAATGTCGATGGTCTCAAAGATATACAAAGCAACTAGGCCATGATGAGGACAGAAATGGAGGACACATCCAAGCAACACAACACAGATTCACTATAAATAGATCTCCATGCCAATGAACTTTGAGGACTGGCACAAAGGGCAGAAACTGAGCTTGCTCTCACACTCCTTGCACAAACAGAGATGTCGGCAAGGCAATAGAAGCATGCAAACCTCGTTCACTCCGCAGACCCTACAAGCCATCTCCTTTGAATCCTTGTTTTCCTTCAACATGAGTTGCAAACTGAAGTTTCCGTTGCAGCAAGAGGCCGCGTCATCGACCTCACTATCGCCACAACCCTCTCTGTTGTCCCTGTTCTGAGCATGAAGTTGTTCAAGATTATACTTGAGTGAATTAACCATGTTCTCATTGTACTTTGCTCGTTGCTGCCAGGCCCCGACTTCCATCACCAACTGTTTCATCTGTTCCTCGAGTTCCATATTTTTCTTATTGATGTTCTCCACTTCTGAATCTTTCTCCCTTATCTTTCTAAGAATCTTCTCCTCAACAAACGCAAGTGTTTGGAACTGTTTTGCTTGAAATTTCTCCAATATTGACTGCCTTAGGCGTTCACCCTAGAAATATATGAGCAGTTCTTGTTAGCACATGTTTTCCAATAATTCAAATCAGTATGCATAAGTACCCAAAAGGAAAATCCATGGAAGGATAATAAACATTAAAAGACACTCAAAGGACTAAAGGAAAAGACAATTAGTATCCAATGCTAGTAGAAAAAATCTATGCTGATATGGATGTTTAAATGCAAAAATTTATCATGTGAAACAATTAGCTCCTTTTGCTTCTACATACAAAGGAAATTGGTTTTATCTTAATCCTTTCTGAGAGCAACTACTACTATTTGATCAGTAGGAATAAGTAGATATTTTGATGAATACAATAAACAGCCTATCCTCCTTCATAAGACTTACGGACCAAATCTAGCACAACCTCAAGCAAGTTCACCAACGATGAATACTACTGTTAACTCGGAGCAATCAATGGGTTTCAAAATTGAATCAACATCAAAACAGTCATGCAAACTTTGACACTAGCATAAATAGAAGTATGATACAGGAACACCAGCAGTTAACAAATCCATCAAAAAGACAGCATGATCATATGTGAAGTTCAAAAAAAAATGAGGATTAAAGGGAAGAAAACAGATTGATCGATTCACAAAACAAAAATTTGACCTCTTGTCAGTTTAATCAGAAGATAAAAGGTTTCTCAATATACAAGCAGTTGACTTAATGCTCGGCAGGACTCCTGATATTTCATAGGTCCACATGAATGGTATAGCCATTAAATGTAATTTCACAGCTAGCTTAAAATGGGAGGAAGCAGACATCAATCAGGATAGAGAGAGAAGTTACAACTATGGGAGTAGCATTACTTGAATGCCAATCCAAGAAAAAATAACTCGTTAATCCAAAACAAAAGCAGTTCATGTAATCAATTGCAAACACAATAGTAAACTATTTTCTTCCAATCGACAAAAGCTGGACATCCTGTCCCCGCGAGAAAGTTACTCGTCACTGGTAAAGGCTTCATCGAATGCATAATCTAATGATGAACAGTTCACATTTTATCTTGACATCTCCCAGTAAGTCAGTGTAATGCAAAACAAGGAATCAATTATTAATTGGAAGAGAAAATGTGGTATATCACTGGATAGACACATTTCAAACAATAATTTTCCAGGACTCGGCACAAGATAAGTAACAGAAGGTGACAGTATCAAACATAGTGAAAGATGGAGACAGTAGACACATTACTTCAATCTTGATGAAGCTGTCCATTTCGGTCACCATCCTCTGCAGCTCGCGATCAATATCCGCATCGACCATCGGGAGGAGCACCAGCGGTGACTCCCCAGAGGAAGCCGCCACCCTCCGATCATCCAACGACAGTCCCAGCCCGGTGGACACCGTCCCCGTCTGCAGAAAGTCGATGGACGATATCTGCGAGTTCTCTAGGAAGTCCTGCTCCTTGACCCGCTTCGTCCTCGGCTCCCATCCGTCCGCCCCCAAAACGGCGCTCGGTGAGACCCCCGTGACATTAGTTACTACAGAATCAAACACAAACAAGCGAGATTAGGTGGCAAGAAGTAATGCAAATGGGGAAAGTCGGAAACCCTAGAAACGAGTGAGAGAGAGAGAAGACTACGGGAAAGGTGAGATGGGTCCGGGAAGCCTGCGGCGTTGAAGAACGAAACCGGGGCGGAGAGATGGCCATCGATCGGCACAAAATTCCTGCTTTTTCTCGAAGGGATTTAGAAATCGATTATTTTCATGTCAGATTTGAGGAAACAAAGAATCTAAAGGACGAGTTGGGATTAACACCTGAGGGGAATGGATTGCTGCTGCTGCTGCTGGTGATGGGGTTGATGGAGGTTGGGCTGCTGAGGGAAGAAAGCCATGGCGAGAAATGCGAGACTGCGAAAGGGGCAGAGATGAGAGATGAGAGAGAGAGAGAGAGAGAGAGAGAGAGCACAGGAGAAAGAGGTCGGATCACGTGACTTGATCCCCCAAATTGGGTCATTTGTAACATCAAGCACGTGATTGGCCATGGGCTGAATTCTTCCTCCCAATTAATTAGAGGCCCAAACTTTTATCTTGCCATATAATAAGCACAATTTGATTGGGATGCGTTGGGTTGGGTTGGTTTATAGTCACCGCTACAAGCCTTCAAATCTTACGTATCTGTGTGTCACGATCGCCGGCACACCGCCGAGGCGGATGTGAACAACGGTGGCGGCGGGGGTGCGACCGACGGCGGAGATGACGACAAGACAGGCCCCTGAGGAGCATAGCGTTGGAATATATTGATCGGATCTTTAGGATATTTTTAGGTTTGATAAATAAAATAATAAATAAGAGACTCTTTTCAATATGAATATATTATAATTTATTAATTCAAATATCAATATTTTTTTATTTTAATTTTTAATATATCTTTATTATTTTATTTTGTGTTCACTAAAGGATACTAGTCAAGTTACTCAGTGATCATATGTATAGAAGAGATAATATCGATTAAATATCTGGTGAGAACCTTGATCAATCTCGGATGAGATTTCATCCTAAGATAGCATTTACACCCTTCCGATTTTTTTTATAATTTTTTTAATATTTATTATTTTCAATTAGAATCCATATAAATTACTTTTTATCCCAATAATTTGAGACAAAAACAGGATGAATTTTGATTAAGAAATCATTGTGAAATCATCTCTTGGCTTCAGTATCATGCTTGAAACTAAGAGTATAATGAAATTGTAGGTTCAAACGATACATATAACCATGTAATGGTCTTTGATCATCCTATCTTTAATCAATAATTTTTCATAGAAGCTCATATTTAAATAATAAATAATAATATTGAGAAAAGAATAAAATATGATAGATAATTTATCTTTTCTTGATGGCATTAAAATTAAATTTGATCTTCTTTGTTAACACAATTAAAAGGAATGGCACTTATGTTTAGAAAAAAAAAAAGATAGTTTGTTGACATCCTCATCATCGAGAAGCTACGAGAGAGAAGCAACATTGAGAAGATGGGAAATGATTAAGAGTTAAAGATAAGAGGAGAAATAGTGCTTGCGACAATCAATATTGAGAATCGACTCGTGTCCTCATCGCTCATGTG